TACGAATACACTTCTGAGGTTTCATGAAAAATTGGATGGTCGCGTTAATAGATTGTATAGTTTCGTCGGATCGTCAATCGAAATATTCATCGAATGATGTTCGATTCAAAGTCCGTACATTTAATCCATTTTCCGGCGTTTCGAGTCGACGAATCAACGGGAGTTCGCTTTCAATTAATTGAAAACGTACGAATGCTAGGCAATCTTTTGCATGGGCACAAATTGGAATCAATGGTAGGAATTTGAAAGGCAGAATTTCGTGAACATCAATCCTGTAGGGCAATTAGCAAATTATGAACATTAATAATATCCGACGATGATCACGGCGAATATTAAGTATAGTATATAGTAGTATAATTAATTGATCCGTGCCGTCGCACGTAGTGTAAATACGTTGGGTATTAGCTCGGTGGCTTTGTTCGACCGAATGGAAATCGGAATTCCAATACATACGTATAGCGAGCACGCTATCCAATGAATCTTTTCTATCGAACGACAAGATAGATCTCGAAAAGAGAAGGTTATTTAATTCTATAGAAAAATTTTTACATAGCGACGTAATAAAAAAAAAAAAAAAAAAAGAAAAAAAAACCACATAAAATAGCGCGATAAAATTTTTTTCTTTCGTTTCGACGAATTTGCAAAAACTCTCGTCGGACGAATTTTTAATTTTTGACAGATCCTTCGAATATCCTATGAAAAAATAGAAAGGTCGATACGATATTATCGAAAGAATCGTTATGGGCTTTACGACGAATCGATTAAGGTCAATCTATCGAAGAATGCGTGTCCCTCATAGAAATTGCCAGATGACGATGACGATGACTCCGATGAAAGCTCGAAACGATAGCGCTAAGGCACCACGCAGAGCCCTGCAGGATGCCACTCTGATATCCCGTTGAGAACCGACAATTCGTATAACTCGTACGGTTTTCAACGTCGTCGATTGCAGCTTGCGAGGGCGTACGTCGATCGTGCGATTCCATCTGCGTAGGTGGCGGAAGATGTCGTTTCTTTCGACGATTTCTTCCAGTTTCAAGATGAGCACGATTAGGCCAAATTAGAATTTAGAAGTAGATTAATAGTTTTAAAGAAGATTTCCGTCCGCTTTCTTTTTCCCCTTTTTTTATTTTTTTTTTATTTCTTTCTTTTTCTTTTTCTTTTTTTTTTTTTTCTTTATCTTTCAGTTTCTTTCTTTTCTCTTGCAGGAGCATATTTTCGCCATTGATCATTCCACCTATCATTATTTTTTCGTCTCTTTTATTCTCATTTTTTTGTTTTTTTTTTCTCTTTTTTCCTTTTTTTTTTTCATTTCTATACATCCAGAATCGTACCATAATTTAAGTTTATAGCCTCGAAGGGTGACACATTCAATTGGAAGAAAATAAAAAGAAGGGTTCGTAATTTTTAGTTTGCACGCTGTAATATTCGTGTATCAAGGTTGAAAAGAATTTCCTCTATATTTCTTCTTTTTTCTTTTTTTTTTTCATCTTCCCTTTCTCTACGAACGTATACGGAAACGTTCCTTTGCTAATGATATCTCGCTAATTGCCGGTATCGAGGCTGCTATTCTGTCATCTGTTAACCAATATATACGTGCATTCGTTTTCTATAATATTTCGAAACATTCGTTACATTTGTTAGGGTTCAAAAATATAATTATAACAATATGATCGGGATAAAATGAACGTCTGTTATGCGCATACACACGAACGTATACGATATGTTCGTTATTATTCTTTCATTCGTTCCTTTTATTTTATTCAAATCGACGTGTCGATAAATACACGTAATACGTATATACGTGTATAAAGAGTACATGTATATAATCAACTAGAAAATCCTTTCGAAAGTTACGGCAAAATCGTTTGGCCGGTCGTACGCTACTCAAGTAAAACTTTGTTTTCCAAAGAGTCGTCCGCGTACCTTCTGCTATTCGCGTCGTAGCTGGCACAGCTCCAAACAACCCTGTAGAATGTTAAGATCGCATCCTTCGTTTATTTACGAATATTTTCTATCTGGCACGCATACCTCGTGCTTTCGAGTTATCGCGACGAAAGACGTTTATTCGGACGTTATTGCGGAAGACCAGCCTCTTCTGGCACAAAGATACGCAATATGCATACACGTCGTTTCTCTATCTCTTTCTCTCTATCGTGAAAGAGATCGTAGAGAAATGAGATGGGATTCGTTGGTGTGCGCATAAATTTTTACGTGCTTCTCGAATAGACTTATACACACACATATATATATATATATATATATATACATATACATGTATGTATGTATATATAAACGCACGTATCCTGTGCTTTGCCGTCAGAGTGCGTCAGGTGGTACCGTTCTCCGTTTCCCACGGACTTCTCAGCCTTTATTATATCATTCGATCACAATGCACATCGAAACGTCTCCAGATCGAGTAAGAGCGGTGCACCTGCAGCCGGCTGCAGCTTCGATTTGCGCCATGAAATAACATCGCTGTTAAAAACGGCACACCTACCACGCCAACAATGACGTTGCATCGTCGATCGTAGATATACGTTTCTCATTGCGATTCTTTATCCCGATATGCGTGCCTCCTTGCCGCATAAGACGGAATATTAGCTTTAGGCATACTTTTCCTTTATTTTCTTTTATATAATTTTTTTGTTTGTTTGTTTATTTTCTGTTTTTTTTCCCTTTCCTTCTTTCCTTCCCGAGAAAATGTAGAAAGCCGTTGCGATAGGGTCATTACGGTAGTCCTCTCGATATCATTTCTTCGTCTTCGAGAGAGAAAACGAAAAGGATCGAATATCTTCGTCAGCGACTATCTTCGGGCGCACTTAGCAATTTCCGGATAAAATTGGAACGCGTAATCGTTTGCGCGAGCGCGAATGTCGTGGAAAATTATAGTCCCGGCAAGTAGGAACAGGCTGGGCAAATAAATCGTTTTGAGTGGCCTCTAGGCTACCGGGAGATTCGTTTTGTTGGAACAGTAAGATCGACGCTGCTAGACTCGTATCCAAGCTTGGCAATTTATCAGTTTCTTGCTGCGCTCACATTAATAATGGAATTTATCGATCCAATATCGATCCATCCTCTCAGGACTGAGGAAACCTATATCATTGTGATCTCAAATCATCCGCCAACCGGTTGCCAACCATGCCGATCATCGACCACCACTGATTTCATCTAAAATTTATCACTTCTGATACGTATCTTAATATTTATAACGGTTCGAATCTTTGTATCTGTATTATTTCATATATCAAGGATATGAATTAATGTACCGTCGCCTATTTTTTTTTCTTTTTCATTTTTTTTCTTTTTTTTCGATCTATCGACCTAATCCAACCTCGGAGAACGTGTTTTCTCAAGCGATTATCATATATACTGAAATATCATAATTTAGATTAGAAGCAGATTATAATAATTATCATAAATGTTCGCTACGTTGTCTCGTCGTTTCCTCATTTTTCTCTCTCTCTCTCTCTCTCTCTCTCCTTTTTTCCATTTTCTTTTTTTCATTTTTATTCTTTCAAAAGGAATAGGAACGATTATTATTGCTTACTTTCTCTCTCTCTCTCTTTCCCTCTCTCTTTCTCTCTCTCTCTCTCTTTCTCTCTCTCTCTCTCTCTTTCTCTCTCTCTATCTTTTCTTTCTTCACCTTTTTTTTCTCTTTCTCTTTTCGAAACTTTGACCATTTTATCGCAGCTCGTTGCGTGCGTGCATGCGTGCGTGCGTGCGAATCGACGACTCGTTTCGTAAGTCTCGCTCCGATCTTTTGTGAATTAGTTTAGCCGTTCGAACGAGACGACGTGCGAAAGAAAAAGTGAGCGTGCAATAACTACTCGCGCGAGCGTCTACCTTTCTGTAACTTTGTCTCCTCCTCCTCCTCCTCCTCCTCCTTTTACACGTTTTTTTCTTTTTTTCTTTCTTTCTCCTTCTCCTTCTTTTTTTTCAGCGGGACGATTGAAATTTCTGGCACGGAAGTCGCGCGAGTTTCGCTCGACATTTGCGATGCGTTCTTCTACCGGTAGACACCGTGAGAATTCTTCGTTCGAATGTCTTATTCTTCGTCGTAGACGCACGTGGCCCGAGAAAGTATCCTCTTTGGTATTAAATGGTGATAGAATATATATATATATATATATATATATATATATATATATATATAGCCTCTTTAAAATATAAATTCTAATTTTTTAAAATAATCGTGAAACATTCACAGCCTCTTTCTCATTGCACAATAACCATTTCATTGGTAATGTTGTTGGTATATACAATTCGAAGAAAAAAAAATATATTTAGAAGCGAGTACGAGACGACGATGAGTACGACGACGACTACGACTACGAGAACGATAGTATAGGTCAAACGCATAGTACGTAAGAAAGTTAAGGGAAATACGTTTGAAAGGAAAGAGGAGTATCTCATCGAGTAGTGGGAAACGTAAATAAACATTCTAAGCGTTACAAGTTGGTTTATAGGTTTCACTTTAGAGAACGGCTCAGTATTCCTTTATATAACTAGTCGAACGAGAGACGCGTCGAAGGACACACGTATATAATTCTCCGCTCTCCGCTTTTCACAATTTTTTTTACTTGATGATAGAGGTACATTCATATAGCCATATTATCCTTTATCCCGGTGTTAAAATTTTTTTTCTACAAATTTATCATTGTAACGTCATCAACTAATATAGGCTTACGGCTAAAGGAACGTTCGGTGAAGGTGCATCGTTTCAATTCGTTGTGCGTAAACTTTAAGAAAGGCTAGGGAAAGCATCTTATTAGCGATCCTAATGCATAATAATATTTACAAAATAGTAGTAATATTGATCGGCGGCTATCCAACATTCTCACGTCTTTCGATAATAATTTTCAAATTTATATTCAAATACATACATACGTGTTTACGTATATATATATTTAAGGTATGTACGTATGTATATATATATATATATATATATATATATATATACATACATATGTATATATCATCGGTTAAACGCAATTGCGTTTGAACGTTGAGCAATCGTTGCGGTTGCAGAGAAAGAATAAAAGTTATTTACCTTTACCAACGGATATGTGTCAAAAGGGCCGGCCCTTTTTTCTCTCTCGTTGCAACCATGTAGGCATGCCAGTCCGTTAGTTCCACTTTTCTCGCGTCATGTGGGCCAACCTCATCTTTCCCACACTTGCCATCTCGCGGTCATTCTTCTTCTTCTCCTCTTTCTTCTTCGGGTTCGTCTTCGTCTTCGTTTCTTACAACGGCATTCCTCGGGTTTGCACCCTGCAATCTTTCGTGGCCCTTGCCGTTCGCTCTCCTCGTACTTTCTTTTGCCACGTTAATTCTAGGGCCCCGAAACGCATCCTCGAGAAATCGTACACCGGTTGGGGAAAGGTAGAATGCACGAAGGTGAACGCCACGGCAGGATGTCTACGTTCTAAACAATTAAGACGAGATCAAAGTTCCATACGATGCGAGGGTATCTAATCGAAATAAAAATACGTGAGAAAGTAATAGTAGGCGTATAATGGAACGATAGTAGTAGAGAGATGATTCAACGGACAATTAGAGTTTCTAGATAACATCAACGCTTTTTTCTTTTTTCGATATAAAGAATTTTAGGGCGGGGGGGGATGGGTGGACAGGGTTGAGGCGTGGAAGAAATGAAGAATGAGGAAGAATAAGAAGAAAGAAGAAAAAGAAGAAGAAATGAGGGAGGCTATCACCGCGACCCTTCGACCGTGTACTCGGCTTAAAGTTGAGTACACACAGTTTAATCGACGCGAAAACGGTTTCTTTATCCTTAGAAAAACGTTCGTTTTTTCTTTTCTTTTCTCTCTCTCTCTCTCTCTCTCTCTCTCTCTTCTTCTCTTTTCTTCTTCTTTTTTCTTTTTTTTTTTCCTTCCCGAAGGAAAGTCATTTACGTCTACACTGTTTACAGCCTATTTTTTTTGTCTCCTTCTTTTCCGTTTTTTTTTCTTTCTTTCTTTCTTTCTTTCTTTCTTTCGGCCATTTGTCTTACAAAGCCACTTCGTCCTTTAGTTTCTCGATCGTTAAAGTAAGGAAAATAGAAATATTTTATTGCTAAGCGTAGTTTAGAGAAGAGGGAAGAAAAAAAAATGTTCTCTCATGGTTCGTCACATTGGTGACAGAGTAAGAGGATAAAGACGTAGGAGAAGGAGAGAGGATAGCAGAGAAACAGAGAGAGAGAGATGAAAGAGAGGAAAGAGAGGAGAAGAAGAAACGTTCATTGTCATGAGGAGACGATGCGTGGAAACCGAGCCAGTAGTGGTGTGAGAGTAAATGGAGTTTACTGGGAGTGGACGGTATTCCCTCAGCCTCTTTTCGAGGGTCATCGTTTGTGCGAAACCGCTAAGTGGACTTTGCGGCACCGATGTGAACCATCGTTTAAATCGACCGATAAGAATAACCACGAAAACGGTGAAAACGGAGAAAGTGAGGTAATTTTGATTATTCTTTTATAAGAATGAACGACGAAGACACACGTGTATATATATATATATATATATATATATATATATATACATATTATGAATTCTCGATATACAAACACATATGTGTAAGTATGTACTTATCTAACGTTTAAGTTTACGGTCGAAAGGGAGAGGATTATTTTGCGATTCAATTATTCCGGTCTACGACTCAATTGTTTTAGATCTCGGTCACGAAGCGCTCGTGATCGGTCGTAGATTATCGATCGGCAAAGCTACCACCACCGCGAGCTAGCTCCAATATAAATTGTTTCAGATCGCATCGCGCCCTTTGTATCTTATTTCTCCTTATCATCGACTTCGCACGTTCTCCTTCTATATCTATGTATGTATATGTATATGTTATACAGTACTTTTAATGATCACCGATGTAATCTCCTTAGATGCGCATACCGAGTACGAGATAATACAAGAAAGGTATTCCGTGATGCGCGATCTCGCTTTCAACGAGATATCCTTTCCGATATTTGTTACATCTAAGTAAACATTCCTCGTAACAAGATATTTTCCATTGGGTTTAAAAGGAAAAAGGGTTTTCTTCTTCGTTTTTTCTTTCATTTTTTTGTTTTTCTTTTTCTTTTTCTTTTTTATTTTGTTTTTTTTTTGTTTTCTTTTATTCTTTCTTTTTTTTTCTTTTTTTTTTTCGTTTTCAAATAAACGCAAAAAGTAACATCGTCGACAATGTTGATGTTAATTAAATAAAATGGCAAATATAAGGAAACGGAAGTTATTAATGTATATTTAATTTGATTTAGACGAGACTTAGAACACGATTCATCCGTAATTGGAAACCGTACGGCGGTCACTCGGGGCATCTAATTCCGGGTCCCAACCCGCATACAGGTAAAATAATATTCGGGAACACGTGCTGCGAATACGAGACATCCTCCTCGCATCCTCCTGAAAATCTAGGAGCTTGGTATTAGATTCCTGACAGCCTAGACGTCGATAGGATTTCAAGAAAGTTAGAGTGCGGCATATAAAAAAAAAAAAAAGATTAAAAAAGCAATGAAGGAAAAAAAAAAAGAAAACAATCAAGAAAAAAAAAAAGAAAAACTTTCTATTTGTTATTACGATAGACTTTCCATCTTCTCCGAGTATTCTTTCCGTAAGACCGATCGTGAGAGCCATTATGGCTGTACCATGAAATTTTCTTACGACGAAACAGAGATTTTGGAGCATTATAATTTTTAGCGGTATAAAAAAAATCTTTATAATATTCAATGGCAAAAGAAATTTTTATTAGCTATTAAAAAAAAAAAAAAAAAAAAAAAAAAATTAATCTTTTCAATTACGAATGGAAAATAATAATTTATTTATCAATTTATTACGAATGTAAATTAAATTTTACTTAACTATTTTATTCGTTACGTCGTAACGTTATAATAGTTAAAAAAAAAAAAAAAAAAAAAAAAAAAAAAAAACATATTTGATTTAAAATCATGTAAGAAGGAGCCAACGATGGATCGTGCAAAAGCGACTTTCGATGTTCTAATGATCGATAGTTGTCCGTAGGAACGGACCATCTCTCCCTTCGTATTTCTCTTCTCATTCATTCCTATCACCGCTCTTCATCCACGACGCACTTCTCGCCGGTAATCAACGACAATCCGAGCACTCCATCGCGGTTCTCACAAAGACACTGCCGGACTATTGTCCTTTGAAATGGATGGAGAAAGGAGAGCCTTCTTCGGCAAAGCCTCGAGTCCCACCCCCTCTTTGAAAAGCGAGGACGCTCGTCGTCTGGTGATGTGGTCGATGCGGTCCTTATTGCGGCTGCCTCGTCGTTGGCGGATATAACGCACAAAAATATCACGATTTAACATCTAATAAGAATTTCGATTGATGAACTGTATATTTATTTTATAGGTATCATTAAAAATGTAATTAAATTTTCGAATTCTACGAGTGTAATCATTATATTTTCGAAAATATAACGATTACACTCGCTCGATATAGAAATGATAAATAATGCATATAACGTTTATATTTATTATACGCGTTATATTAATTGACACACGTGAATTTTTCATCGCATAATTTGTTTCTGCCCTGGTAATAAGTTTCGACCCCTCGCTCTTCCAAGAAATTATGTTTCAATGTTAATTAAAATGCTTGTCCAATGAAAATTATCTTTTTGATCGAATCGTGTAAGCAATGAAAGAGAGTGAGAGAGTGAGAGAGAGAGAGAGAGGGAGAGAGGGAGAGAGGGAGAGAGAGGAATGGTATTAGCACTTAAACTGTTTTATCGAAGATACTGATCGAGATCCAAGGATACGGTATGAGTATGTAAATGAGAGGGTTGTTTGTTGGTATCAGAAACTCTCTCCGAGTACTCTCATCCAACTGATTCACGATCCCGCGATGGACCGCTTCCTTTAACTTCGAGAAGTCGAGTGGACACGATTCCTCGATCGCCCCCGGGTCGATTTTCGAAACACGTAACTGCCTTGGCAGTTTGCGCTTGCCCTCTCGAGATCAGCGGCGTAGGATCGATTTCAGAGATTCGCCCTTCTCGTTTCAACGACGTGAGCGCGCATACAGATGGGAGTCTGTAAATGTAATTGCTAATGGAGTCTCGAGAATCGATCGATACGTTTACGGCCTTCTTCTCTCGAAATCGATAAGCGATCGTTACGAATTTCGATGCAACAACTTTGACGATAGATCGAGAGAAAATCAAATTAACATTCTTAATCGATCGATAATTTTTCTTCATAATATAGAAATTATGATTACGATCGTTCCTTATGAGATCCAATTTAGAAAAAGAAAGAGAGAAAAAGATATATATATATATATCTTTTCTCTCTCTCTCTCTCTCTCTCTATATATATATATACATATATATATATACATAGAGAGAGAGAGAGAGAGAGAGAGAGAGAGAGAGGGAGAGAGGATCTTGAAGACAATTTAAATGGAGGACTTTATAAACGTGAAGAGGAGAAATGTACTCGTGTTGCTCCTATAACGAAATAACGACGACGATACGAGTATCCTGATAGACATACCTACTCGCTAAACTTCTCAAGCAAGATTTAAACTATAATGGTTCGCAAGGCACATTGGAAAGATATTTTCTCTCTCTCTCTCTCTCTCTCTCTCTCTCTCTCTTTCTTTCTCTCTCTCTGTCTGTCTTTCTCTCTTTCTTTTTCCTTGAGAAGGCTAGGCGATCAGATAGAATCTTTCGAAGTCATTCGGTGATCCTTCGATTCCTCGCGATCGAACGGAGTTTCTCGCCGGTATAAACTTGAAGTAAAAAGTTGGAAAGAGAGAAGTTTGTTAGATCGACGAAGGATAGACGATTCCAGTGGCTAGAGAATCGGTGAAGCAGCTACGGCATCAGCAACTACGGCAACTGCGGCAGCAACAGAAACAGCAACTGAAACAGCAACAGCAGCAACTGCAGGAGCAGCATTTGTCGTGACACGTTTGCTTGGATGTTGTGGCCCTTGGAGTGCCCGCCGGCTCCTCGCTTTCCAATGTTCGCTCGTTCACGATTCCGATAGGTCGAAGCGATTCGAGATTCGAGTGAGGATAACGTTGCTCGTTGTACGATCGTATCTGTCTGTCAGTCGGCTTGATTACGCCTTTGACGGTAGTACCGAACCTTAGTCCGGTCAATTAAAGTTTAACGTCTCCTCCAGTCTATGTCTCGTTCTCTCATCCTTCTATTTATCCTCTTCCTCTGTTCACTTGGAATAACATAGTTCGATGCTCAATGCCGAAAGGTATGTATAATATTGAGACATCGTAGGTGTTTTATTATTTACTTTAATCTCGTCTCTCATTTGCGCGTCGATTTTTTCATTTCTTTTTTTTTTTTTTTTCTTGTTTCTTTTTCTTATATTTTTGTACTTTTCAATGTACTCATAAGATACTTCTGATGATCCATATATCGTGGATACGTATATTCGGATATCTTGAGAATCTAAGGAAACGATTTAAAAACAACATTTTAACGTATGAGAAAGAAAATAGAAGCTCGAGGCTAAATAATGTTATAAAGTAAATCGTAAAGATGATTAACAAGGAATATTCTCGTACGAATTATAAAACGATCGTTTTTACGATTTTCTTTTTTTTTTTTTTTTCTTTTTTTTTCCTTTTCGAAACTATCATATATCTTTTTCCTGCCAAGAGAGAAAATAAATCCATGGTAACGTAAGGTACCAGTCTAAACTAGACTATTTTTGAGACTAAGGAAAGTTCGTCGTTTGGGTACGGGTACACTCTCAGCGTGGGGCCCGTTCTTTTTCGTCGGTGACACTAGATGCCAGCTAGGGGAGGCCGTCGTCACTACCGCCACCGCCTCCGGCGCCTTCACCGCTGCCGCCACTGCCGTCGCCGTCGCAGACGACGACGATGACGACAAGCGTAAAAGAAGATCTGGACCAGGAGCGGGCCAACGAGACAAAGCGAAGCGTGACAAAAAGAAAGGACAACGTCCGATGAAATAAAGGGAAGGGCCGAATCCTCTTGGTGTTAGGTTACTCGCACAGGCTATGTCTTGACCCGTTGTTTTTGAAGAACACACATTTTGAATTCACTTCGTGACAACACCCGCTTCTTTTCTCGTCGATCTAATTTTACTTAAAGAAAAGAAAACGATAGGGGGGGGGGGAAATAAAAAAAAAAAACGAAAAAAGTAAAAGAAAAGAAAACGTTTAAATAAAGTTCCGAGAATGAAACGATCGATTGAAAAATTTCGAACGCACGTGAAAATGCGGAAATGGTTTACCGATTATGGAATGGAACGACCTCTGGTAGTGGTGGAACAAGGCTTGATTTTCCGAAACGGGCGACGCGCGATTTCACGGGCGTTAACTCGAATCGAGTCGAACCGTCGATGGGCGCTCGATCGCGACAAGATAAATGACCGTGTGTCCGGTCGACCAGCAAACCGGCACTATTCTCCCAATTATGTGGGGTCGATGGAGACCCTGGTGTCCACCTGTCGCCGGCAACGACATGATTGATGGACCACACGCGCGCTGTACGTGCCTTCTCGCGATTTCCTACCGATCCATCTTCTTTTACGGGGCCACCGATATCGTTTGGATACACACGATAGAATGAAAAGTAGTGCCTCTTTAGAAAAAATCTTTCCATTCTCTCCAAATATTTCCAATACTAATTCTTTCATCTTCACATATAATATAATAGTTTAACCAATCAATTTATTTTCAATATAAATCTTTTCAACCTGTAAATCGACAGACAGATCGCAGAATGATACCAGATGATTCTTAAATACATAAGATAGATATATTTACCAACGTTCTCTTAAATGATTAAAATTGAATGTTTCACAGTCGAGTAAACACGTGCCGTTGCCGCGGTGACTTTCAGCAAGTATCTATTAAATCGGATTGGTAAGGCAGCGTCGTAATCGCATAAGATTCGATTTTTCTTGGCAAACCGGTGACCCAGTTAGGCGAGATGTTTAACATAATTGTGCATTGCCGTCGTATGAAATATCGTAGGACGTTTTTATTCGATCGTGCAAAAGATGCCTACCGATTCGAATTAACCAACGAACGATAGACTTTCAACGAATAATAATTTCAAATCGAAAAGCCATCTGTGTAGGGATTAATACTGATCGATCGACTCCAGAAACCGGTCCGGTAACTTTTCAAAGCCTTTCGTGTTCGGGAATCGCGAAAGAATTAGAAAAGTGAGATAGACCGAAGGAGAACGAAATTGTCTTTCGTTATTTCGCGATAATAACGATAGGTGTTTGATGATTCGTTAGATCAAGGTAGAGAGTAAAAGGGGGATGAACGAAAGGAAGGGGATGGCGGGGTGGGAGGGGGAGGGGGAGTTAAGCGTGCGTGCGACTCAGCTCGACTCGACATACCAGAGGCGATAATAATAACCATTGACACCTGGTTGTTAATTGAAACGTGCCTTCGGCGGCCGTGCACCTTCCCACTTTAATCACTGTGATTATGTATTTATAAACGCTACTTAGCATTCGTCGAAGAAG